CTCCCTCTCTCCCTCTCCCTCTCTCCCTCTCCCTCTCCCTCTCCCTCTCTCATATGGATTGACTTTAGTGTCCTCCTCAGTGACTTGTTTTAGAGACGGGGTCTCTCCCTGATCCCGGAGCTCACTGATTCAGTGCCCCGACTGGCTCACCCCTGGGATCCACCTGTTTCCACCCCAGCACCGGCACTTGCCTCACAGCCCCACACCTGGCATCTGTGTGTAGGTGCTGGGGACCTGAACTTAAGAACACACGGTGCGCAGCAAGCATTTTGCCCACTGAACATCTCTCCAGAGCAACCCAAAAACGTCCTCACATTCTCTCGGTTCCCTCCTCACAGTGAAATATCCTGTCAATAGCAACCTTTATCACAGCAACACTGCTACCCATGCTGGAGCCTAGACCTGGAATTGTCACTCAGGGCTGGAACCTCCTCCTGACATCCGCTCTCACTGACACAGTCACTGGATGCCGGAAGGGGAGGAGGTAGAGGAAAGCGCCTCTGTCCTCTGACCCCTGGGTCGGAGCAGTGGGGCAGCACCGTGGCCACCATGCTGACAGCGACACTGCAGTGCAGGCCACTTCTTGCCTTCACCTGGGCAGGCTTCTGTGCACGCAGAAGTCCTGGGCCATCTGGGGTGGAGGCTGGAAAAGTAGGCAATAAATGAGGGGAAGAGACCAGTGCCTGCGCTGTGGCCCCGAGGAGGAGGCCATGGACTTAAGAAATGTCATGTCTAGTGTTTATATTCCATTCTGCCTCTCAGCACAAAGAGAGAAGAGCGAGCATGCCCCCACAGGGTCACAGGCCCAGAGAAAATCCTGCACGGCCCCCAGGACAAGCAGCAGAATCTGGCCAGGCCCTCTGCATGAGAATCAGCACCCTCCTCAGAAGAAGCCACTGCCGGGGGCCGCTGGGGCTTGGACAGCTCTGCTTCAGATTTAAGACGGATTTTTTTTTCCTTAAGAAACCAGAAGAAAAGGGGGTTCTTTGAGCTCATCTGCATTACAGATCAGGCCTCGGAGAGAATCAGCCATCCATAATTCATTACATGTTTCCTGCCGGGGATGGAGACAGCCTGATCCTAGCAACAGAGTCATAGCAACAGGAGCTGAGGCAGAGCTGCTCCGCCCACCGGCGAGAGGACAGGGAGGGGTGAGGGATGGGGGTGAGGTGTGTGGCTCCTGGCTCCTCACATGGGCTGGCAAAGTTCACAGGGGTTACAAAGGAAGATGGGGGCTGAAAGTGGAGGTGGGATTGTGGAAACTGGGGTGATGGAGCAGAAGGAGGGAGAATGGGGAAGGGGGGAGGGGGTCAGAAGGAAGAACATGTGAATTTGAGCTGCGTAAACTCTAGCTAAGGTAGGAGGCCAGTAATGTTTGTAAAGACCTTGCCAGCTGCCACACTGCTTGGTGCGCATCAACTCAGTATACAGACAGGGTCACTGGGGGACCACCTGGTTGTCAATTGTTAACGGAATCACATAGCTCTGAGGAGTGCCTGGCTGCCAGTGTGAAGGAAGTCCATGGGCTCTGAAGGGAGCTTGGTGTGTAAACAGCAACTCTCGGCCCTCACTCGGCACATCAGTGTCACCACCTGGTACCAGTGTGCTCTAGACACACCTGCTGTTTGACCCTCACTATCAAATATGAAGCCCATCTGACGCTGACCACTTGATCTTGGGGTCTTTGGGCCTATGAGGAGAACATGTTCCTTCTATATTTGAAACTGTTGAGGATACTGGAGGAGCCACTGGACACTTGCAGAGCAACCCAGAAAATACCATTAAAGTTCTGTATGGAGGACGCCATCAGAGCCACTGATACCCATGAACTGTGTGGACATGACTACCAGAGCCACTGAAGGCTGAAAAGTCATGTGGAGGTCACCTCCAGAGCTACAGAAACCCAAGGCTATCAGCGCTTGGTCAGGGAATGTGAGCCTTGCCATGTGG